ACAAATTCTTTTTTTATTTCTCTCCTTAAAACTCTATCTCATATTTATTTATCTCTAATGATTGATAATTTTGTAAATAAATATTTATATTTAAAATTAATATATATATATATATATATATATTAAATTTTAATAATAAAATCATAATAAAAATATAGAGACTAACACTCTGCTGATAAAATACATAGAGTGCTTTTCCTAACCAAAATCTCTAGCCATCCGTAAGAGAAAGAAATATAGAATATGATAGTATAATTTGTTTGTATATCCTTCATATATCATCTGATGATATTTTATAGAGTTTTATGTGAAGAGTAATTTGAACATACTTTTTCTATTTCTCCAATATATCTATAAATTAAAATGATAATGAGTTAAAGTATAGTCCTTGTTAATAACAATTGGTTTATTACAATTATGAATTACATAATATGTTTATAAAGATCAATTTTGACACTAATTAATTAGATTTTTTAGTAAACTATAATAACTCAAGTGTGAGGTTTTGCTATTTATAGGAATAATATGTATTTTAATACATTTATAATACTTTTTTCAAACAATTACATGATGATTGACGGGCAGTTAAAATTGAATTGACGTAGTATGTTGCAGTAATGGACAGAGAGAGACAGAGGAACTGAAAATTTCAATTTCTTTTCTATTTTATTAAAAAACATATTATAGTGTTAAAAAAATTTATATTAATCATTTTGAGATTTATATTATGGTGGGAGAAAAAAAAGAAGAAATAATTTTAAAAGATAGAATAACATTCTATATATTTTTTATCTATTTTATTTTGTTTAAATCAACAAATTATCTCGTCACAATTCTATTTATATGTTTTCAATATATGATTGATTTAGTTTTTAAAAATAATTTATTTTTTTTAAATCAGTTGAACTATTTAATAATTAATAATTTGAATTTTTTGTGTAAAAGTAATAATTTCAATGATAAAAAAATTCAAAAACAATATTGATAACCCATCTAAAAAATTATATAACCTTATATAATTGTTAATTCACAATATGAACATAGTCGATTAATTTTTACATGAATCTTTTAATAAATTACATTAAATATTTATATAAGATTCTTCTTTCTCATTTTTAAGCAAGTCTTCGAGAGGGCTTAATTGATCTATGATTTATGTTTTATTTTTCGTTTCTTTTTCGTTTGTTTTGAGAAATCTATTTATCAATTTCGATTCTTTTTCGATCGAGATGTATGGATTCATAGATCGACGTGTCTATATAGATCACATTCATGGATTAACGAAAATGTGCAAAAGCTTATATAGGTTATGAATTTAGAAATATTTATATTGATTTTACATTAAATTTATTTTGATAATTTTGTATAAAAATAAAATTATTATTTTAAGATAAAATTAATTTATCCTTAAAATAATTATAAAAATTGTCTTATATAAAAATTTATTTCTTTTAAAAATTAAATTTATATATACATATTATATACATAATGACTATCAAAATGAGTAATTTAATGGTCCAAACTTGACCTATAATTTAAAACGGACCAAAATTTTTGTCTAGTCTGATCCTATGTTAGACTAACAAGCTATTTTTTTTCTAATTAAAAATAATTATATATATATATATATTCTTAATTTTGTTTGAAAAAAATTATCATTTATTTATTTAAAATTAACTCATAACTTATCCAGGAAAAATAAAATCACAAAAATAAGTTTCTGTAGTTACGTTGTCTTAAGGAGTTATAGTTGTTCATACATCGAACTTAAACATATCCTACCAAAAATATTAGATAACACATCTTTTAATTTTTTTCTTTTCAATTAAATACACGATATAAATATATGTAATGAAAGTATTTCTAGTAATTAATTTTATATATTTTACCAAAAATATTAGATAACATTTAATTGAAATGTTTATAGTAATTGGTTTAAAATCATGAGTTAAAACTTTATTTATCTCCCAAATTTGGTCGTATTTAACAAAGATAAATTGAAAATCATGTTTAATAATTCATCTAGCAAGTAAATTTTAGAGTCAAATTTTCATTATTTTAACAAACTAGCTTTATTATTCAACATAATTTTTGCATGATCATATTTTGGAAATACACTACATTTAACAAGCATATCATTTTAAGTTATTGATCCTTAAAAATAAATATAATAACAACAATATAGAGAAAGAAGATGCTTTATTATTCAACATAATTTTTGCATCATCATATTTTGGAAATACACTACATTTAAGAGCATATCATTTTAAGTTATTGATCCTTAAAAATAAATATAATAACAACAATATAGAGAAAGAAGATGATAAAAAAAATGAAGATTATGCTTAGAGTTTATTATTCTTTTTAAATTATATATATATATATATATATATATATATATAAATATATTATCAAATTAATTTATTATACTTATGTTTTCTAATAAAATAATATTATTTTTATTTTATTGATAAAATAATTATTATTTTATAAAACGGGTCAGACCATAAGTGTACGGACTAGATCGCCTTAAGTTCATTTAGGCTTGACCTAAATAGGTTCCGCAAAAATTTATCTAATTCTATTTAGGTCATAAATATTTTAGCTTAACCTAAATTATTTTTGAAGTCTTTTTGGTTGGTTCATCAAACTAAACCTATTTTAAAATCCCTACTATCTTTATATATATATATATATATATATATATATATATATATATATATATATATATATATAATTTTGGTACCTTATAAATCTATAATTAATTTTCTTTAATTAATTTTATTGTTTAATGGAAATATTTTTTTATCGACAACATGATTTAATAAAATTACTAAAAAACATTGACATTTTTAATAATTCATATTTAACATTTTCAATTAAAATATACTTTCAATTTATTATAAGAAAATATATAAAAAGAAATATAATCTAGTTTTTTTAAAATAATTTTTATAATTTAATACTACAATAAAATTTGTATATGTATAAAATATAGTAAGTTATTTTAAGTTTTTTTATATAAGTTAATATTAATTTATTTATTTATTTTTATCTATTTCATTAAATAATTATTTTATATTAAATTATATCATAATTATAATTTATTTTTATTTTTATTAAATTTATATTAAAATATTTTGGTGATTTATTAATTTAACTTATGATATTTTTATAATTAATTAAATTAATCTTATTAACTATAATCTTTCTTTTATTTTATTTTTTTACTTTACTCTTTCTTCCTCTTCATTTTTTATTTTCTTTCTTTTATTTTTCACTCAATCAAATTTACTCATGAATCTAAACAAAAAGCTTGAGTGTAAAATATTTTAACTGTTGATGAAATATTTTATTCTTATTTTCTCTCTCTCCCTCTTTCTAACGTGATAAGGGATTATTGGATTAAGGTAATATAAAAATGAAAAAAGATAGATTGACAGCCTACTATCAACGACCATTCACTCAATAACTTCATTTATTAGTAAAATAATAATTTTTAATTAATTTAATTTTAAACCAATAACTTTTTAAATATAATATTAATAAAAATTTATAATTGATGTTTTTGTCGTCAAAATATCAACGTATGAAAATTAAGCAAGTAAATATGATAAAAAATTAACATAATTTATTTTAAATTATTATTATTAGAAATATTGATATTTTAATGTCTATTTGTTTAAAAAAATTTATATTATTAATTTTTTAAAATATATATCACATTTTTTATCTTTACTTATACGCATTTTTTAATTCTTTTCACATAATTTTTTCTCTTTTCTCTTTCTTTAAATAAATAAATTTGTTTTCTCTTTTCAATTTCAACTATATATTTTATATTATTTATTTATTATACATGATAAATTTTTCTCTAGATGATAAATATTTTTTTAAAAGAAAAGAAAAATCCTTTATATCTAGTATAGAAGTATAAATTGTATTTTTAGATAAGAAACCTGTATTAACTTAATAGCTAAAAAAACTTAGTTATCTACTACTTACAATTTTTTATATATTTAAATTTTTAAAAAAATAACACTTGATGTAAAAAGATAAAATGTAATTGCATGTATTATATCCGTTATTTTTAAAATTTGGATCATTATTTTTAAATAATCAGATTTACCAAATAAAAAAAAGTATAAATTTTAAATACGTCTTCGTGATAACAGATAAAAAGAAAAGATCAATTTTTATATAAATTTGTTTATAAAAAATATAATAATTAATAATATCAATTTTAAATAATAATTATTTTATTATCTTTTCATCTTATTTTTAATTATTATTCATATTACACTTTCTAATATTTTTATATTTATATTATACTCTTTAATATATTTTGTATTATATTTTATTATAAATTACTATAATAATAATTTTTATTATTGATTAATTTATTATATACTTATTATATTATAAAATATTATTTTATTTAATGAATTAAACTTCGATTATAACCACTTTAAATGTTAAACATGTGAATTTGATTATTTGTGGTTTTGACAACATTAGTCAGAAATGAGTAGTGAGTAGCATAGTATCTTCCTTTAACGTGTCAGAGGTTCATACGGCTGACGGCGCCATAAAAATGCTCAAAAACTATTGAAGCAATACATTTTATCCTTGAATACTTCACTGTGCAAAGTATACAAACTAAAGTCACAGGTTTTATCAGTGATCCAATTTTTAATTTAACCCCCACATAGTAATCTGCCCCATTGTCCCCACTGCCACAAGCGGCTTATACCTTTCACCCAGAAACTGCTTCTTTTTCTCCTTATAAAACTCTCCCAACTTGCCACCCAAAAAATGGAAAGCCAGCGCCACACTGTTATACCCTTGCACCATCTTCAATAGCGTTCACAACCATGTAAGAATTTTCTCCTTGTCTCATCACAGCTTTACCGAACTTTGTGTATATCTTCACTTTCTAATTATATATATTCAATTAGCTAATTACTTCAGAAACCCTAAAGTGCGAAGTGAAAGCTAGAATGGGAAGGGGGAAGATTGTGATTGAAAGGATCGACAATTCCACCAGCCGCCAAGTCACTTTCTCAAAGAGGAGAAAGGGATTGATCAAGAAAGCCAAAGAGCTTGCAATCCTCTGTGATGCACAAGTTGGCCTTGTGATATTCTCCAGCACCGGAAAGCTTTACGAATATGCCAGCACCAGGTTTGATCATCTCATCAACATCATTTTTAATTAATTGCAATAATACCATGAATATTTATGTGCTTATGTGCTGCTCCCAATCTATCTTTGCTCCCATAGTAGTTTGATGCATAAAAATGCTTATGTTATGAATAGATCGGTACCAAAAAGTTTATCTGTTATCTGGACCTTGATTCATCTCTATTTGATTGAAACTCCATGTATTTTAAGTCTCACTTAACATACTAACCTCACTCTTGAAGACCCTAATGCTAACAAGATAAATAAATGCATGGCTACAAGTTCTGAGAGATCACGATCAGGCATGTGCTTGGTACATAGTAAGACAATCTTGTGTAATCATGTAATTATATATATTGCACAATTACTCTAATTACATGATTACAGGAGATTCTTCTGATGCTTGACAATCCTAGATAGCGTGTATATTCATATTTTTTCAACCGAAGTGTCATATGAATTAACAACACTTTTCTCATGTTTCTGACAATAGAGAGTAAAGCTGATGATGAATCAGAATTTAACATGCCAGAGTTTGTAGGATATTGGCCGAGTATATCATCTTGGAAACAGAATAAATCTGTGTATAATGAAAACAGCTTCGGTTTGAATATGATAACATTTTCAAGGAACAACTATCTATCCTTAAACTTATCATTAATTTACCAAAAAGAGAAAACCTATCCTTAAAGCTTATGAAGGATGTACGGTCACATCTCTGAATCTAACCTTCCTGTGTGCTCATCCAAAGGCAGAGACCTTAAATGCTATTTGACCCTTAATGTAATGAGATAAGAAGACAAAAAAGTATAGGTATGATACATGATATAACATGACAGGAAGTGGGGGATAGAGATAGATGCTAAGTATTAAGTATGGAATGTTTAAAAATCATTGCCCATTCGACAATTTCTTCTAGTCTCAGCTCAGCTCAGCTCCATGACCTATATTATATTGAACATTTACATATTCTTGAGTCCCACCAATCCAACCTAGCTATTTTCCTCAGAAAATATAAGAAAATTCTGCATAGGACAATGCATATATGCAGTGGCTAAACTTGGGAATGGAAAGGGATAATAATTTCTTAAAATTTTATAACTCTAATATAATTAATTTATAATTTTCATCTTAAACTTAATTATATTTAATATATTTATTTATATATTTATAATTTTATTTCTTCATTTTTTATTATTTTTATCATTTTATATTTATTTATTATTTATTAATAATATATTATTTTATCACCTAAAATCACCATAATGGTCCGCTAGTGCATTCATTATTGAAGACTTTAAACAGATGATATATTCACGGGAGTTACAGGAAATATTAAGGTAGAAAGTTAAAGTAGAACTTTTTTCCCATATTCAAGGGAAAAGGACATCGATCTCAGCGTGTTATCATCTCAACTAAATAGTCTGTTTAGATACATGTTTTACCAATCAACCTAGTTTTTCTAATTTTGGAAGGTCACATATTAAAGTACGCGTGATTTCAAAATATTTGAATATATAGCTTTAGCCAATGTGAATAATCTAAACCATTTTATATGATACCATGCCTCTGATTAGTCTATGTGATGCATTGAGGATGTGGATATGATAGGTAGCAGGTCATTGTTAGCATGTCCCCTCCCAAAAGCAAATAATCAAGTCCCATTTAGGGTCCTATCATTCGCAAATTCATGCATCGGATAAAGTGTGTTGTCACCACTAGTTTGGATATAGACAACCTTATCAGATAATTAAGACCTAGTTATCTAAGCAATTGTTTTTTGTTGGTTTCATTGTCACTATTATTTTGGTTTCTTTTTATCATATTATATTACATTATATTATATATATATATATATATATATATATATATTATATTATATATATATATATATATATATATATATATATCTTTTTTTTTTGCCAAGTGGGAATGATTATTTTAGTATGATCTTGTATTCTTGCTTCCTAGTCTTAGAGCATACATTGAACCTTTCGCTTTTAACTTTAAGTCCATAACGTTATGTAGAATAAGGACGCGTTTTGGATAAGTTTTTATTTTAATTTTTTTAAAATTACGCTTATATAATATTTTTTCTAAAAACACTTCTATAGTTTGAAAAAAACATTCGAAACTACTTCCTTCTCTAATTATTTTTTATATGTGCACTTGTTTTAAAATAATTTTTATTTGAAAAATATTTATTCTTTTAAACTAACAAGAATGCAGATTTACAGAGTTTAGTATAGGTACGTTTCAATGTTTTTTTAAAACCATTCTAACCAAGTTATGAACCATATTTTTCTTGCAAAATTTGAGTCCGAATCTCACTTGTTGTCTGTGACATATTCACTATTTGAATTTTAATTGAATAAAATGATATGATGGCCTAGTTTCTCTAAATACATTATGGTGAACTACATATACCATGTGTGTTATAAATTATATATATATGTATGTATGTATGTATGTATAATATAATATGTGTTTTTAATCCTTATTTGTTCATAAGTTAATATTGCTTAATTTGTAAAGCGAAATTATTTCATTGCATGTGTTAATATTGTTTATAATATTTGATTTTTTATTTAAATATTTGAAGATATATTTTTATCCTTAAATAGGATAAAAAATATTTGCTTCAGGTGTTGTTAGCTTGCGGCCAAAACCACATCTGCAAACAATCTTATCACAAAAATTATAATTTGACATTTAAAAAATGAGGAAAGAACTGGGAGAAGTTGAATTATAATTATTTGTCATATGAAAGGTGGAAGAAACAAGGTTACTATGTTTGTTTTCAAGGTTGCATATGTGGAAGAAGCAAAAGCACTACATAGTTTAACCAATAGGAGGATCATCAATTAACTTTGAATCTTTGACTGTTAAGTAAAAGATAAAATTAAACCTATTTCCTTAATCTGTATCATTAAAGTTCAACAACTTACTAAAGGAAAAGAGAAGAAAACATAATTTGAAGAATTAGGGTTACCAACATGACATAGTTTAGCACATTTACATAATACCTTATAGTAGAGCATGGTAATCAACATGCTGCATTTACAAAAGGTGAAAATAATCAATACAACTTGTTTGTCAGAAGAAAAAAAAGAAGAAATGTATTATTTGGAGAATAGTTATAGCAATCACATAGCAATGAAGAAGATACAATTATTATCTAACCTTGGAGATTATTCTCCAAATTTAAAAAATACAAAAAAAAAAGTGTAAAATCTTTTAATAAGTTTTATTGTAGTAAAATTGACAAACAAATAAGAACTTGTCAGTCTATTAAAATAGAAATGGTAGCTTGGTGTAAAAAAAAAGACTTTTGCATATTAATACATAAAGTTAATTTGAGTTTCATTGAGTTTAAAAGTCTCATCAAATATTAATATTATTATAATCATGTAAGTGAATTTAAGAACAAAAAACGGTATAGTTAGAAATGAGGTTTAAATCATTTGTATGTTTAGATTGGATGAACAATATTCAAATACATTTTCATGTCACTTATAAATCTAAGAATAAAAATCAATGAAAATTTATATAACATTCTTTTCTTAATCATTCTTAAGGTAAAAATATTAACATTAAAAAGGAAGATCTAAATCATTATTTTCCTTAGTCTTATTAAGAGGTTTGTTCCAGTGTTCTCAAATTCATATTACGTAAGATCAAAATAGGGATAATTCATACACATTTTCTTTTTGTTTTTAATAAAAATTAGGACAAATTAACATATTACAAAATCACAAAATTTTAAATGAAATAAGTCTAATAATGTCAATGAAATTGAAATGGAAATATCTAAGAAGACCTAGATCACTCTTTGCTAGAGAGCTAGTTTTGATATATCTAAAAATATTATATCATTTAGAGTAGAAACCATAATTAATTTATGAACACTTTATTCTCTTAATCTGCCAAAATATATTTAAAAAAAAAAAACTCTAAACAATGATTCTTAATATTATCAAACTTAATATCTGAACATTAGTGCTAGAAAGAGGATTATTCTTTTATGATTTTTTAACCTCCTTAACTAAGAGACATGCTATGGTGTAGAATTGATAAAACTAATTTATAAAAACTCTTCATTTAAATAATAAAAACATTCTTTTAGAACAAATTTTGATAGAACTGTCAAACTTAAAGTGAAATATTATAAATATAATAATCCTTACAATGATATACTTCAAAATGTGATAACCCTACTCACTCTTTACGTTAAATAGGGAGATATTTGCTTACACTAAGATTTGCATTCACCTTAAAAGTTGAGATTAAGATCAGTAGCATATGTGTAATACTATGAGTATATCTTGTCTTATGGCTAAAACATGTTTTTTATAATCATGTCTTGAGGAATATACTCACATGGCATGAGCATATTTTCTGACAAATATATAACGTGATAGATAGTAAAAGCCATGAGAAGTTATAAGGGTATAACTACACCTTAAGATAATTTGATAAATTTTGTAAATATGAAAGGGTGAAGACAAAACTGACTATCTGATATAAATCATAATAAAATGGTGTATAAAAAAATTGTAAAGGAAATGATCAAGTAAGAAATGTCCAAAGTTTTTTCTTTTTGTCACGGGCCTATTAATAGTTTATTTAATAAAAAGCTGTGCTAGACAATCACTAGTCTAAAAGACAATTTTTTATTTTTTGATATTAATATAAAAGAAGTAAATTTATATCAAAATAATTAGAGTATCTCCAGTGAGAGTTGTTTAGAAATAAAAATGAATATTTTATTATAGATTCCTCGAGTTGCTTGGAAGGCAGTTGTTTGGATAAATAACTTTAATCATATTTTAAGTAATTTAATTGTAGAACTCATAATAAAATATTCAATTTTATTCTTAAGCAACTCTAGCTAAAAATTCTCATTAAAGATGTCCTCAACTGACATAATTTTTTGTCAAACTATAGTACAAGATCTAAAGTAAATTTTAAGATGAACATATTTTAATTAACTAGTGAAGCTGTAATGAAGATGAAAAATTGGTTGGTTGAATGAGTCTGGTTCCAATTTAGATGTGTATTTTCAAGGATTTGGTTTGTTTGAGAAAAATAAAGTTGATTCGATGTATGACAAAAGAAGAAGGATTCAAGTTTCTCATCGAACTCTTTTTGCAAGGTCTTTTAAATTTCAATCAAAGTTCAACAACAACAATTTAATAGAAATATTCATGCATTATTGTGATTGAGATACTTAAAATTAATCATGATTTCAATTTCAATAAAAATAATAAAAACATAACATAGTAACTTTAATAACATAATAGACACTTAAATATTCAAATTTAATTGAAAAAAACATCCATAATTACAAATGAGTCATATAATGACAATGTTATTGGTATTTAATATGGTTGGAAAGTATTAAAAA